TGGAGCCTCCTTCCCTCCACCATGAGGTGGGCATGCCCTAACCCAAGTCACAAGCCACTGCAGTCATCTCATGAGTTTCTACCTGTAAAGCCCTTAAACCTAGTGTCTCATTGGTGCCACACAAATGTCAACTGCTGTCACCATGTTTTATCTGTGTCATAAGTTTGTGCTCTGGAGTACAGGTCACACCTGCACATTCCTGCCAGGGAGGTGGCCTAAACAGGTGACCTGGGCTGATGGGAGTGATGAGCAGACAGGTGGGATGGGAAGAGTCCTCATTTAAAGTTGTTTCTGCCTAACATTGCCATAACACTTGATGCACTGAGCAAAATCCCCTGTATCCCGAGAGTTAGATGAGGCTGGAGCTCTTTGCTGCTCTCAACTTTTTGATAGAAACGAATCTACCCTACCTGTCTGGGCCCAGCTTGGTGATGCCATCCTGGAAAGGATACAGAGGAGACTCACCCGACTCTCCCTTTCTCTTGGGACAGTTGAGGGCTGTGCATTTACCCGGCAGCTGTCACACCCCTCCCCCTCCCTTCCCTGCTCTCCCCCATGGGCTCCTCAGTGTCCTCCCACCACCCCTGTTACCTTGTGGCTGCTTTCTGGGTTGCATGGATAGGAGGTGCAGCTCAGCTGTCAGCCATGACATCTACTTCTCTCCCACTGCTCCAGAGGTGACCATCTTTCTGAAAAAGCAGCAGGGAGACCGTCTTCACTTGGCAGAGATCAGGGAAGGTTCTGGGCCCACTGCTAACATCCCCAACATTCCCAAGTCCTGGAGAGTGGTACTAACACAGTTAGCCCTCTTGAAGGTTCCCCAGTTTTGGCCTGCCTTTTTTTATGGAGATGTGACAGCTGTCAATCATGTAGCCCATCTCCAGACATTCTACCAAACTGCTGCCATGACCATTGCAGTTGTCCTAGATGCCCCTCACATACTCTGAGTGGTCTATCCTGATTGCAGTGGACTTGAATTTGAACTAAGAGGTAGAATTGAATATGGACCAATCAATTGGTTCCAATCGGAGGCTTGAGTATAGATCAATTTAGACCAATTGGTGGCTTGGAATTTGGACCAATCATACACTGAAATTTGGACCAATCAGCAGGCTTGAATATAGACCCAATCACAGGCCTATGGACAGCATTCCTTTCGTACTTCTGGTCTATGAGGGCTCCTTCCAGCAAACCACTGCGGCAGGGTGCAGAGCACTGCCTCCACCTGGAAAGCCAGGGAAGTGCAACTCTGTCCTGACCACCCCCTATGATCATGCAGCCAGAGAGTTCTGTCTGCAATCTCCCTGTCCCTTTCCATTGCATTCAGAGTGATGTCCACCCTTCCCCTACCCCAACTGGACCTCCAAGGATACAAGAGCCCAAGGTAGCCTCTTGGGTCTCTCCTCCTCCTTCTCCTGCTGGATCTTAGCAGCCACTGCCCACTTCTGCAGTGTTCTGCTGTGATACCTTGAAACCTGCAGCTTCCCAGCCTGAAATGCAGACTGCACTGCCTGTGGGCCCTCTGTTCCTCTCTCCAGCTCCCGGTGGTCGGACCCTCTTCCCTCTGTGTCTTGCTGGGGAGATATGTCAGAGCAACAATTCTCTGTGCTTTCACTTATCTCTTTAGATCAAAACCTCTTCTGGGGGTTAGGGATAGTTTCTGGAACATGGTTAGTGCTCAGTAAATATTGAGATTGGATGGAAGAAAGAAGCAAAGGATGGATGAATGGAAGAGTAAGTGAGTGAATGGGTGGAAGAGTAGAAAGATGACTAGCCGAATGGTAGGTGGATAGATGGATGGATAGACGGAGTGTTGATGGGATATATGGAAGGGTAGAAGATGGTTGGATGGGTTGAAGATTGGAAGGTTGGGGAAAGAACAGAAGGAAAGAAAAACCAATATGTATTGACCCAAGCAGGAAGGCAGGTGACAGGCAGAGGGCAATATGGTGGCCAGTAGCAGTTTCATAGCAGATGGTGAAGGCAGGGCTGAAGTCCCACAGAGACTGAAAAGAGAAGAGGGGGAAATGGGATGTGACTAAGACTGTAGGCCTCGATCAGGAGTTGAAGTTAGGACCCAGATCCCAAAAGCAAGGTGAGGGCCTAGGAATTGGGGTGAACACTTCATGCCTTGTCCAGTTTTGTCACTGAGGGTCCCAGACCTTGGGAAAATTCTCCATCTCGAGAAAATTAGGCTGGGAATTTGGCTCAGTGGCACCACACCTGCCGTGAAAGCACAAGGTCCTGAGAGTTCAATCCGCGGTACCAAAAAAAAAAGAAAGAAAATCAGGGTGGTTGTCAGCATGCTACTAACAGTGAGCAGTGCCCCAGGCCCTGGGAGCTGGAGAGAGGAATGGAGGCCCCACAGGCAGTGCAGGCTACATTTCAGGCTGGGCAGCTGCAGGTTTCAAAGTGTCATAGCAGAACACTGCAGAAGTGGACAGGGGGCACTGCCCGTTGTTAGTAGCAATGAGCAGGGCCCCAGTGCAGAAGTGGGCCAAGGCTGCTGAGATCCAGCAGCAGAAGTGACAGGTGTCACTCAGGCCCTCCAAGGCCAGAGTGACCGCCTGGTGCTGGAGAGCTGCAGGTCAAGCAGAGGAATGCCTCTTCCAAACCACACAAGAGCTCCAGGGCTAGTGTGGTTCCCTCAGCTCTGCCCAAAGACCCTATCCCCTCTGTGGCAGCTTCACATTGCCACTGGGCTCTAGGAGACCAAAGCACATGTCCTGGCCACTGGCCCACACTGTGCACTTCCTCTGGGCCCTGTGGACTGAACTGTGTCCACCCAAATTCATGTACATCCTCACACCAAGTGTGACTGGACCTGGAGATCGGCCTCTGGGGAGGGAAGTAAGGTAAAATGAGATCATAAGTCTTGAACTCTACTCCAAGAGGACTGGTGTCCTTGCAAGAAGAGTAAGAGACACCAAGATGTTCCTCTCTCTCTCTCTCTCTCTCTCTCTCTCTCTCTCTGTCTCTCTCTGTCTCTCTCTCTCTCATCTCTATCTCCATCTCCATCTATCTATTACACAGCCCTTGCATACTGATACCCTCAGCACCATGCCTTGAGGCCCCATCCAAGCCTCTCCCTTCAGTGTCAGCCATCACCAGTCCTCATATCCCAGAGCTGCAGTAGATAGTCACGGGATTCCACAGACTGTTCCTCGATGCCCAAAGATATTTCTTAGGACTGCTGCCTGGAAAATCTTGCATACTATGTCCTCCAACCTTGGACAGTTACATCACAAACAGTACCCAGGCTGGGAAGGGCCACCTTATCCTGGTTGGTCTCATTGTCCCCAGGTTGTTTCACCTGGAAACCATTAGGAGTGTTCCATTAGCATGCTGGTGCTAGGGAAAGAAATTGCCACAAGCTTCGTGACTTCTACAACCCAAATTGCCCTTCATGTAGGTCGTAGTAGATCTCATTGGGCCCCAATCAAAATACAGGAAGGGCCATGCTCCTTCTAGAGGCTCTGGGGCAGTCGGTCCTTGCCTTCTCCAGCTTCTGGAAGCTCCCATGGTCCCTGGCTGGTGGTCCCTGTTGCACATTGTTGTTTTCCCCTGCCTTCCTTATTACATCTCAGCTTCTCCTGACCCCTTCTCTTCTGTCTTTTTCTTATAAAGAACCTGTGAGACTTTTATGACCCATCTGGATAACCCAGGACAATCTCCCCCTCTCTAGATCATTAACATAATCACATTGCAAAGTCCCCTGGTCATAGCAGCTATGGCGCATAGAATCCAGGTATTAGAATGTGACCTGTACATTCACATCCACCCCAGAACTCTACGTGAGGCCAGTTTCCAAACTCGAGACACAGTGTGGGGATCTCTAGCCAGGGACATAAGGGACTCTTACCTGAGTTACCCAGCTTCCTGGGAAAGAGCCAAACCGAGTTGGAGAACCCAGCTCTGCCCTCGTTATGGGCTGTATGTGCCTGTGGCTTGACTTTCCAACCTGCCTGCATCTGATTAACAGGCCAGACTTGGAGGACCCAGGGCACACACAGAACAGGGGCTGCTCACCGGGAGGGAATCCTGCTCATGTCTACACAGAGGCTAAGATCCCTGAGGACTCTTGTAAGGCAGGGAACCCGGATGTGCACATAGCATGGGGCTGGACGTAAGCATCAGTGAAAACTAGTTCTTACTGCCCCTGGGCCAAGCCTCCAGCCTCATAACTGGCCCCAGTACCAGGGGGAGGTCAGGAAAGAGTTCCAGAGAGAGTGCAGGGAGTAGCAGGCTGAATTCGAAGGTCACTTCCCCTGGGAGGTTCCCAGTTCCTGCTTTGCTCAGCTAGCTGCATGCCCCGCCTGCACCCACACCCCTAGCCTAGACCTGCCACACACAAGGCACAGGCTTGGAGACCTTGGAAATGTAGCAAGGCCTGAGCCCTGCACCAGTGTCTTGGAAATGCTCTTCACAGCGTGGGACAGAAAAGGATGATCCAGCTGAGCCCTTAGAGATGCCAGCTCCTGCCCTCTCCTGGGCAAAGAGCACTGACCTCAAAGTCAATCCTTTGGAGACTAAGCCCCTCTTCCTCCCTAATTTCATATTGACTCCATCGTCCTGTTGGTCTTCTAGGCCTCACCTGGGTTATTGGTGTGGGGAGGAGCGGACCCAGTGATCCCTGTATGTCAGCTGTTGTGAGATTCTCTTTGCCTCGAGGATGCTGGATCTCGATCCAGTTTGGAGAGCTGGCCTGTGGGGACAGGCTCAGCCCCACTGTCTGGCCCCAAAGGAAACTGGCTGCAGGATCAGAGCCTGGCAAAGGGAGAGGCTGGATTCTCACAGTCTGTCTCTTATGGGGCCAGGGAGTGAGAGCTTGAGGCTGTCACGCGCAGGCTGGCTGTGCTAACTGGGCAGTCCCATGCCACGCTATGCTTGTGTTATTGAGTGGTGGTCGTGTCAGAGCCTTGCCTCGGGCCCCGGCCTGGAGCTGGCCTACTGGCTGGAAGCCTGCTAGGAAGGACGGGGCAGGTCGGGGCGTGGCCAGGGGAGGGGTAGGGACAGGGCTGCTGGTACAAATACACGCTGCAGTCCAGCCTGCCCATCGTCCCTTCCTGAGCCTGGTGGAGAGCCACCTCCATTGCATTCACGTGGCTGTGGGACAGAGTGAGTACAAATGCCGTGGGGGAGGTGCCACAGGCTGAGGTCGTGGGAGCCGGGGTGTAGAAGAATCTTGGAGTACAGGGGTCAGCGGCATCAAAAGTTCTGGAGAGATCCAGGAGCAAGCTGGGGCCTCTGGAGCTTCTGTGTGACCTTAGGCTCCACACTAAGGCTGGCTGAGCCTCACTTTCCTCCAGGAGGGGGAGAAGCGTTTATGTGCTCTGCACAGAGTGACTAAGGGTTAAACACTGTGGAGGTCTCACCCAGACACATGGGGCCCTTCCAAAAATGCATCATGGTCACAGTGGGAGGGTGCTCCTGCCATCTGGTAGGGAGATGCAGGGACCCTGCTAAACATTCTGCATGCCCGGGAGGGCCCCCCCACAAAGAATGCCCCTGCCCTGAATGTCAGCAGGGCTGACAAAACTGAGTAGCTGGAACAAGATGTCTGGTGGACAGGCGGCACCCCCAGCCTGGAGTCTCAGACCTTTAGGAATTCAGGAAACTGTCCAAGGTGATCGGCTGCCCCGAAATAGGCAGCCCTGGCTGGAGGCTGCGCCTAAGATGGTCCGGTCAGGACTGCTACTTGTGAGCTGCAGGAGCCGCTTGGCAGCTTTTTAGATAAGTGGAACATAGAAATAGAAGTGAAAGAGGAAACTGTTCCCCAGGTCCACAGCCGCTGCACAGGTCTGAAGCTGCAACCTGGAGAGCAGACGCAGGGGCATCCGGGGGTGGTGGGCACTTTTGTGGCACCGAACGAAGTGAAGTTCCATCAGACGTGCTTGTGTCCAGACTCTAAGCTGTATCTCTAAGAGGCTTGGCTGTTTGTCGTCAGACCTCCACGGGGTGGGTGTTCAAAAGAAAGAGAAAAAGAGAAGCAAAAGAAAAAGAAGGAACCTCGCTGGGTGATGGCAGGGAGTTGCTCCGGGAGGCCTGGAGGGGGCCTCGGAGCTGAAGAGAGCCTGGCATGGTGTCCAGCCTGGCTCCGAATCCTGCTCAGTGTCCAGGTTACACCTGACACACTGGGTCAGAGAAGGGGACGGGCTCCGTTCATTCACTCGCTTTCATTCACTCATTCATTCCGCAATGGGGCATGGTCTGCACTCCAGGGTAACAAAGGCTCATGTAGTGGGCAGCATGGACCAGGTCCTCCCTGCAATGGGCACATGTTCTCCGGGATGGAGAGAGTGGAGCAAAAGAGGTCAATGACAGATGCATGTATGATTGCATAAAGGAACAAGCCAGGGAGCATGACAGAGAATAACAGAGGAAGAGGAGAGGGCCAAGCATGAGAAGGCATCTCCCAAAGTGACATTCAAGCAGAGCTGGAGCCTATGTATGAGTTGAATTTTGAGGAAGGGTGGGAGGGGATTCCAGCAGAGACCGGCATGTGCAAAGGCCCTGCTGTGGGACAGAGCCTGCTGTGTGCGAGGAACTAGGACAGAAATGTGCCATGCTCTTCCACTTCACTTAGCCTCAGTTTATTCATCTGTAAGATGGGACCAATAACACTTACTTTTGGTGAGGATTAGATGGAGTACTGTTTATACAGCATCTGGCAAGTCCTTCCTCAATAATGCCTTGGGAGGGGGCCCACGGAGAGCAAGGTTTCTGCTCTCCAGTCTTGCAGCCCAGGGGAGCCCGAGTAAACTTGCACCACCCCAGAACAGGCTCTGATCCCCTAAGAGACGCGGGGGGCTTCTGCCTCTAGGTTTTCAGGCATTCAGGGATCCAGGGCATGGTGACCACAGAACTTTATAGACCCTGCGCTGCTGAGGAAGAATCGGAGGCCCAGGAAGGTGGAGATCTGCTTGAGGGGACTTGGCCAGCTGCTCAGGGCTGCCTGGCAGCTGTGCAGCCTCTGTCCCCGCTTCCCCTCGCCACTCCGGCATGGTGGTTATCGGCTCCCTGATAGCTGCTGGCATCAGAATGGCTTCTGTGGAGCAAGTTGATACATAGATGATTCTCACACTGCAGGAGGGGCCAGGCTGTGTCGAAAGATAGGCTAGCCTAAAGGACAGGAGATCACGTCCCCCATATGTCCCTAAGGACCTCCAGAGGCAGCTGTCACCGTGGGAGCAGGGCGCGGGTGTGGCCAGGGAAGCTGGGAGTACAAGTCTGAGTTATCTGCAGATTAGGGCTGAGGGCAGTGCCTGCTGAGTCAGGGACCCCAGATGCAGGAGGCTGCAGCACAGAAATGGAGAGCCCAGGGGTGTGGCGGGGTGGGACGGGCAGTGGTTTGGAAAAAGGCAGGAGAATCAGAAGCAGATCTGAGTCCAGGCTCAGCCACAGACAGCAAGTGATTCAACCCCCGGCCAAGCCTCGGTTACCCAACCATAAAATGGGGGACGACCTGGGCCAGGCACGGCCGAAGGACCCGGATGGCAAAGGGAGCCGGTGCCTAGCAGAGGGTGTGGCTGGCGACCGCAGAGGCGGCCCATTTGCCTCCCAGTGCCCAGAGGTTCTGCAGACAGAGTGCTCTCAATGAGCCTCCTGCTCTTGCCCCTGTGCTCTCCGGAGGCCGGGGCTGGGAGGGTGACCCGCCTGAGCCGCGCAGCTCCGCACAGATGGGACAGGCCCTCAGCCCCAGTCTGCCTGACCCCGGGGCCCTGACTAGTACCAGCACCGCCCCTCGTGGGCCACGCTGCAGCCATTTCCAGTGCTGTGGCTTGGGGCCCTCTGGGGTTTGGGTTGGTGTGCGTCCTGTGGCCATGGCAGGCTCTCATGGGAGCTCCTGCCAGGCTCACAGCGGAGTGGGTGTGAAACTGCGGAAACTGGTGTTGGCTGGGGCTTTGCCCAGATGCTGCCCGCCGACGCCCCAGCTCCATAGCATGCGCTCCATAGCAGGCACCTCTTTCGCGGTGGTGGGCTCACCCCAGCCCCCCTCGGTGTTGGCCCTGCCGCGACTCCATCTCCTAGGTGGGAAGGCGACTCTGGAAGTACTGAATTCCCCAAAGCACGGTGGGCTGGGATGCGAGCCCGGGCAGCTGGCTGCAGAGCAAGCTCCTCACCACTAAGGGACTTGGGTGCTGGAGGACTTTGGGCTGAAGCCAGATGGGGCAACACGGACAGGGGAAGGTCCTGGGCAGAAGAGGTGCTGGGAGGCAGAGGGGAGGAGACACTGAAGGGCCAGGAGGAGGGGAGTCCACCCCAGGAGCCCCAGAGGGATGTCAGCCAGTCTCAGCCTGCAGCTGGAGTCCAGGGTCAAGGTGGAGCAGGCAGGGGAGTTTCCTCCAGAGCCTCCCCCTTTGGCTTGAGGCAGCGCCTTCTCGGGGCCACCACAGATCTTCCCTCTGTGTGTCTCTGAGTCCCAACTTCTTTTTTTTTTTTTATGAGGACACCAGTCCGGTGGATGAGGGCCCACCCAGCAGCCTCAAGTTCACTCAATTCGCTTTTTTAAAGGCTCTGTCCCCAAATGCAGTCCCGTGGTGAGATGTCAGGGTGAGGATTTCAGTGCAGGAAGGAACTCTGAAGGACACTTTGCAGCCCCTAGCAGAAGAGGGGGGCAGTTGAGATGTACACATGAAAAGGCAGAGCTTCTCAGGAGGGGACAGTGTCCCTGGTGAGGGACAGGAGTGGCCCGGAGCAGCCCCAGGGGAAGAGGCAGGGCCGTGCACACCCTGGTCCTCTGCCTGCTGCAGCGTAGCTGCTCACTGTGTGCTCAGTGGGTTTCCCAGGACAAAGCCAGTGGTGCTGAGGCCCCAGGGGAGAAGCTGGGAGCACAAGGCCTTGCCAAGGGCTGGCCCAGGACAGAAGGGAAGGGGGGAGGCCATGCTGGGCTGCAGTGTCTCACTGTCTGGTGACCTCAGGGATGAGGACAGGGCAGAGCCCAGAGCCCACCCATCCCAGGCCACTCAGAATAAAGGACTCCTGCCCGGCAGCCAGTCCCCTGCTGCAGGTGTCCGTCTCCTCTGTCTTCTTTCCCTCCCCACCGTAGATATCCCCATCCCAAGCCTCTGTCTCCCAGCTTCTGCTGTTGTCCACAGACACTCACTTGAAACCCCCTGGAGCCATCACTCCTCCTGGAGGCTGCATGGACCACCCTCCATGATGGCTGACACAGGGGCACCTAGCTTGCCTGAGTGTCCTCCTCCCTTGGCCCGCACCCTCCCTGAGATCGCCTTCCCTCTGTCCCTTTAGGACCAGGCAGCCTCCATGCAGCTCTTTCTGCTCCTGTGCCTGGCACTCCTCAGCCCCCGGGGGTCCACCTCCCGCCGCTTCAGGGCTCAGAAGAAGCAGCCCAAGGAGCCCAGAACTGGGGACTTTGCCTTCGAACTCTACAGGGCCTTGGCTTCCACCTCCCCAGGCCAGAACGTCTTCTTCTCCCCACTGAGTGTGTCCACGATCCTGGCCATTCTGTCCATGGGGGCCAGGGGCAACACCCAGGCACAGATCCTGGAGGCCCTGGGCTTCGACCCCCGGCACCAAGCAATTGCTCAGTTCCACTACAGCTTCCGGCATCTGCTGATGAGGCTCATAAGGCCCAGAAATGGCTTCGAGCTGAACCTCGGCAATGCCCTTTTCATCGACAAGGGGCTGGTCATCTACAACATCTTCCGGCTTATCATAATGGCCACATACCTGGCCGACACTTATTCCACCAACTTTGGGGACCCTGCAGGGGCCCAGAAGCAGATCAATGACTATCTGGCCAGGCAAACCCAGGGCAAGATTGTGGACCTCATCCAGAGCCTCGACAGCACCAACGTCATGGTGATGGTGAATTACATTTTCCTTAAAGGTGAGGCTCCTGGGCTCAAACCAGAACTTCCTTTCTCTTTTCTGCTGCTTTGATCAAAACAATACCCAGTCCCTCCCAATGAAAGGAGAGGAGATCGCATCCTTTCTAGGCCCTGTTGATGTTAATAAAGCAGCAAGAAACCACAGGTAAGATAGCGGCCACCTGCTACATATGGTGTTGGCACAGAACCTGGAGACCCTTTTCTCCACTGGGGAGGAGCTGGCCCTGTCTGGGGGAAGCAGGAGTCTGCTGAGGCCACCATGTTGAAGACACTGATGTCACTCTAGGCAGGAGCATAGACCTGGGAGAGGTAGGAGGCACTCACAACCCCTCCCTTGCCCCCAACCTTTGCCCCTCTGCCCCCTAAGGGCTGCCTTTCAGCCAGGCTGTCCCGACAGGCACTGGTTCTTCTACAGGGCTTTTTCTCCCTGCTCCTCAGTGAGAGCGACCTCGTCCATCTCTCCCTGACATTCCCTGTGGGTTTCCTTGCTCCCGTGTCTGCTTCTCCTTCCAGAACTGAGCCCCCAGGGGCCCTGTGTGCACCTTTCTGAGGTGGGGATGGAGGAAGAGGGGAAGGAAGAAGAGAAAAAGGAAGGGGGTTAAACCCTTAACACTGCCTCCTCTCCCTCAGTCACAGAGGACTAGCATCTCAGTCCAAATTTGGGACGCACTAACGAAATACCAGAAACTGGATGGCTTATAACAACGAAAATGTATTTTTACCATTCTGGATGCTGGAAAGTTTAGTTTCAACCACAGATTCGGCATCTATGGAGGCCAAATTCCCTGATTCATGGCTAGCACTACCCACATCCTCCTCTGGTGGAAAGAGAACACAAGGTCCCTGGGGCCTGACCCTTTTATAAGGGCACTAATCCCATCGGGGGGCTCCACTCTCACCTTCTAATCCCCTCCCAAAGGCCTCACCTCCTCACACTATTGCCTTGGGAGCTGGAATATCAGCCAATGGATCTGGGGAGGGAGAGAGCACAAACAGACCATAGCAGTGAGTGTGGAGCTTGGGTGACGGTCCAGGGCTGACCCCACGGCAACAGGCCCCAGAGATGGGGGGATCGACCCTTGACCAGGATGAAGAATGTAGAAGCAGCTGCTTGCAGTGCTTGGAAGAGAAGCAGTTACAGGAAGCAGCTAGGAAAGGAAGCACAAGCCAAGACCTCCCAACAGTGAAGAGCATGTATTTCCAGGGCCTTTCAACTTCTTTCCCAAGCTTAGCTCAGAGTCCGATGTTGGGAACAGGGCGAACTTGGCAGTGATCAGGTAGGATTCTCTGCCATCCATATTTTTACAACCCTCTCTCTTAGATGCCTGGCCTTACCTACTATCAAAGAACCAAAGAGCTTGTAGGGGTCAAGGGTCTCTGAAGACCTGAAATCCAGACTTCTTGTTTTGTAAGACAGAAAGGCAGGAAAGGGCCCAGCCTTGGCAGCTGAGGGCTTAGATGATGCATGCAGCTGAGACCATTCCAAAGGCGAAGCTCTCTGTGATTCTGCTCAAGGTCTGCCTCTGCACCTGCAGCTGAGTATTTCTCCTTCTTACGTGTTTCTCTTCCTCTCCTCAACCCATGTTCCTCTTTAGCTAAGTGGGAGATCGGCTTCAACAACAAAACAACTCAAAATCAGGACTTCTACGTGACCCCGGAGAAGAAGGTGCAGGTGCCCATGATGAACCATGAGGATCAGTATTTCTACTTCCTGGACAAGGACCTCTCCTGCACTGTAGTGGGGATCCCCTATGAAGGCAATGTCACCGCCTACTTCATTTTACCCAGCAGTGGCAAGATGGAGCAGGTGGAGAATAGCCTGAACAAGGAAACCCTGAGGAAGTGGACTCAGACAATGAGGAGGAGGTACTCTCAGACCACTCCAGGGCCAGGCTAACGTTACTCCTGCCCAGAGAGACCCACACCCTGGGACCACACAGAGGTTCAGGGAAGGACCCTGCCAGCCAGCCAATGAATTCCCTCCAAACCCAAAGATTTCCCATGAGGTCCTGGGACCTGGGACCTGGCCTGGTTTGGGGGACCAGGGCTGGAAGCTGAGTTCCCTAAGTGGCACCGCTGCAATCAGCCCAAGTCTGGGGCAAAGGGAACTCCTTCCTAGGCAAAAAGCCAGCAACTGTGAGAAGCCAAGAAGTGGCTGGAGTACCAGCTCAGTGAGCCAGTGATTGGCCTAAGAGAGGTTCTTTTCTTTTCCTAGGCGGCTCAATCTTTATCTTCCCAAGTTCTCCATTGAGGGTTCCTACCACCTGGAGAAAATCTTCCCCAATCTGGGGATCAGGGACATCTTCACCCACGATGCTGACCTGTCTGGCATCTTCAAGTACCCCAACATCCAGTTGTCTCAGGTGAGTCTGGAAGCTTCTGTGCATCTCTTTCAACAATTGCTATTCTGTTCCTTTCATTTCCTGTCCTGTCCTTTCCTTTCCTTTCCATTCCTTTCTCTGCCACCTCCTCTTTCACTCAAGGAAGCAAAGATTTTCCTTTGTGCCATGTATTTCTTGCAATGGGAAAGCCACGTCCTCTAACACATCTGGGGCAAGGAACCCTATATTAAGCAATCAAAATTCAGACTCTGGGGCAATCTCCTTCTCTTCCAACAAACACTTGAGTCTCTGAGCCTCCTTTCTCTTGTCTATAAACTTGGAGAGTCATTGCCCCTCTCTGAGCTATAACGAGGATTCAATGACCGACACGGCACAGTGCCTGAGACAGGGTAGCTGTCCAGTGTTCCATATCCTCCTGTTTTGTGACTCATTGGCACAGATGCTTTGGCATTGGTGCTCATAGGCAGAAGATTTTTTGTGGCCCTTGAAGCCTTCTTCTGGCCCCTGGCAGCTCAATGATGCTTGGTGTCTCCTACAGATGGTGCACAAAGCCATGGTGGAGGTGGACGAGTCGGGGACCAGAGCAGTTTCAGGCACAGGGATGGTCTTCAGCTTCAGATCAGCCTATCCAAGCTCTAGAATGATCACATTTAATAGGCCCTTTCTGATGGCCATTTTGGAGAATGTGACCATCCTCTTCTTTGGCAAAGTGACCCAGCCCTGAGGTAGGCCCTGTTCCTAGGCCTGCATGGCAGGAGGCAGGGTTGTGTCATGGTCCATCTGTTTGCTGGTAGCTAGTGATTTACCTAAGCTGAGTTACTAATGAGGTGCCAAATAATCCTAAGAAGACTGATAAACTGGAAATAGCTTTCTGTCACACAGTTGCAAGACATAGATGCCTTGGAGAAACTTGCAACAGTTGAGATTAGCACAGAGGCCCAGCGGGGTCCAGGGAGCTTTTCCAAGCTCACATAGCATGTTCTTATCAGCATAGACAGGCCCAGAGTCCAAGCCACTGATGCTCAGTCCAATGCCAAAAAGCCCTGTGAGAGGGTGGTCCAGCAGGTAAGGGCCACCAGGAAGCACATTTTCAAGCCTGGTCTCCCATCTATGAGAACCAGAAGCTATCAGTTCATCAGGGCGTAGAAGAATACTGGAATTGGTGTGCAGTGGGCTGTTGTCCCTGCTCTAACCAGCTATGTGACATTGGCATACCACTGTCTCTCTCTGGACCTCAGTTTCTTCATGTAGGACCAGGGCAAAGTTCCCACCCAAGGCCCCTTGATATTAAAAGGCTGGGCTGTTCCATGCCAACCCTGGTCAATTTCAGTACACTAGGGAGCCACTCATGTGTTACTAAAGCATTTGGGCCTTAGGTTGGAATTGTCCCAAGGCAGGATCGTGCCATCCCATGTATCAAGGTATAATCTCCCGGGCCTGGCCAGTGTGGGAGGATGGAGGCCTACGGCAACAGTAGAGGATCAATTGCAGACACTGTGACTAACTTTCTGAATTTTATGTTAGCTACTACAATAAAGCATTTTGCAAAGACTGGTGCCATTGTCTTGATGGAGGCAGCTCCCGGAAGAAAGGCATGAGTGCTTGCCACGCTCCAGGTGGTGGAGCCAGGGTCGGGTAAGGGATGTGGGCCCAGGGTCACCAGCTCAGCCATGTGCTCTGTTGTGGAGAGATGGAGGCCAGTGCCCATGTATATCAGCCACAGTGCCTGTACGTTTTTAAATTTCCTTTCTTTTTTATTTTATTTATTAATTTTAAAAATTCATAATAAAATAAGAGAATAATCATAGTTAATATACTATTATTATTTTCAAAGTATTTACTCAGAGACAAAAAAGATTCTCTCTTACAAAGAAGAAACAAACAAATAATAGCACAAAACTTTCTTTTTAATGAACTAAGAGAAACTAGTAGTGTAAATTAAGCAAATTATCAGATATTTAAAACTATCTTTGATATAGCAGAATAGGTAATTTGGGGAATCATTTGAACTAGTCCCTACTTCCTATTTATCTTCAATTTTGCTCTTTATTTGTATATATACATTTTTATTTTCTCTTATAAGAGAAACCATGCAGTTTTTAATCTTATATGACTGATTTATTTCACTTAACATTATGGTCTCAAAGTGCGTCCATTTATCTACAAATGCCTCAAGTTTTTCCTTATGGCAGAGCAGTACTCCATCATGTATAAATACCACCTTTTCCTTATCCATTCATCTGTTGCTGGACATGTATGCTGTTTCCAAAATTTAGCTATTAGAAATTGTGCTGCTATAAGCATAGGTATGTCTTCCTGTAATATGACAACTTTAACTATTTTGGGAAGATATCTATCTAGAAGAATAGTTGGGTCAAATGGAATTTCTATTTTTAGTTTTTTGAGGAACCTCCACACTGATTTCCATACTGGTTCTTGTAGTTTACTTTCCTACAACAAGGTAGAGGAGTTCTTTTTCTCCCCACACGCTCACCACCATTTATTGTTAGATTTCTTTAATGACAGCCATTCTTTTTGGGATATGATGGTATTGCAATGTAATTTTAGTTTGCATTTCCCTAATGCGCCCCTGTGATCAATCCAGCTAAGTTCCCTCCCTTTACTAAGGTGATATGTTTCTTCTTCTGTCAATGAGACACTTTAAAGAGCTGATAAATGAGTGAGTGAATTCATCTTTACTTTGCTTCAAGCTGTTCCCTAATTAGCTTCCCCCCATAGCACCTGCCACCCTATCCTTCAATTTCTTATCATGCTTTCTACATTGTTGTGAGGATGTGGAATGTATTTCCAATAGCTGGTAGTACCAGTACTGTGACTGCTCCAGTCCCAGGGTCTGGGCTGTATTAAATGTGGGTGCTCTCTAGAAGTGACAAGCTCACAACCCTAAGTTCCGATTATCTCCCAAAGCATTGAGACTATGCTACCCCCTTTGCATTTGTCATCTCACTCACCCTTCAACAACCCAACAAAGTCTATTGTTGTCCTCATTTTGTAAGGGGAAACAGCTGGTGACAATGAAGACCCAGACTGAGACCCCAGATGGCACTTATGTTGGCCAATGACAGGGCAGATGCCTGCAATCAGACCCAGATATCTTGTCTGTATTTGTGCTTTGATTCTGCCCTCTTCCCATAGGTTCAGCCCTCTCCCTGTGCCTGTCTAGGGTAAGGTCTAGTTTTTCTTGCCAAATACTTCTCCTGTTTACCCAGCCAATCTAAGGCCAGAGAAGGCCCTGCCTATCATGCACAAGGTCAAGGTCCAGCGCTCTGTCTAAAGTTCACTGGGCAAACAGGCCAAAGTAGCTACTGTGTGGAAGACTGGGTGGGGTCCAGTGTATCAAACCTCTACAGCATGTCACAAATCACAGTGCTGTCCTAGGGGTTGTCATGGGCTCTTTAACTCAGCTGCCACATGATCCTGAGATGTACAGAATGGTAAACAGCTGAAAGAGAGAAGCTGAAATTTGAGAAGCCAGGGAAGGTTTTGCAGAAGAGGGCGTGCTGGTTGGTCTTAAAGAAGGAGTAGAACTTCAACAAAAACAGATTTGAGAACAGGTAAAGGATTTCCTGGCAGAGGGAACAGCTGGAGAAGAGTACAACATGGTGTACAGGGGAAGTCACAGAAACTGTCTGAACAGTGTAGGGAGAACAAGGAGGAAGGAAGTGGCCCTGCTGGTGGCTAACCTTTGGTCTGTTCTCTTCTATCACTTTCTTTTATCACTGCTGCCATAGTTTAGCATCCCTGCCACATGCTGCATGCCCCTGGACCCCTTCCTCTTCCTCTCCCATCTGCACATCAATAGATGCCTCCACCCAGCCCTGCAGGGGGCGCTCACACCTTCTCTAGGGTTTCTGAGCCCCTTCTGAGAACGGGCTGCCATCACTGGGCTGCATGAACTAAGGTGATGGTCTATGGGGCTCCACACGTTACAGGCGTGGCTTCCCCTGGGGACCCTCATTCTTAGCCCCTGAATTCCGAGTGCTGCCGTAGCAAAGCCCCACAGTCAGGGTGGCTTAAGTAACAGAAGTTGATTTGCTTGCAGTTCTGGAGGCTAGAAGTCCAAAGTCAAGGTGCCAGCAGGGCTGGCTTCCTGTGAGGTCTTTCTCCTTGGCTTGAGGTGGCCACCTGCTCCTTTCATGTGCATCAGTGTCTAAATTTTCTCTTCTTATTAAGATGCTAGCTACATTAGAATAGGGGCTGTACTTATTTTAACCAAATCATTTCTTTTTTTTTTTTTTTTTAACAAATCATTTCTTTAAAGGCTCTGTCTCCAAATACAGACACATTCTAAGATATCAGGGATTGGAACCCTAGCATGAAAGTTTGGGAGGGAAGCATAATTCAGCCCATAGGGTTACCTTGCCTTTCAACTTCCTGAAGGTCTTGCTAAATTCATTCTTATTTTTAAAAAGCCAGTTTTTGTTGCCCTCTGACCACACAGATTCTAGGACCTCCTTTGAGTGAGCTACAACCAGATGCAGAGAAATTATGCACTGCTGAAGGGTGTGGTGGTGCATGCCTATAATCCCAGCCCTCTGGGAGGCTGAGGCAGGAGGATTGCAAGTTCAAATCCAGCCTGGGAAATTTAGTGATTTAGTGAGATACTATGTCAAAATAAATAAATAGAATAAATAAATAGGGCTAGGGATATAGCCCAGTGTGAAGGTCCTGGGTTCAATCCTCAGTACCATCATCAAAAAATAGCCTAGAGCTTCTTTTCCCATCTCTCCTTGCAGAAATCCAGCCAAGACACTATGATCTTGACCTTCACAGGCAACACTTCCCACCCTCCATGAGCAGCCAAGACTGCAGGTGTAGTTAGTTCACTATTCGAAGACTGTTCCTGAAGTGCCTACCAGAAATCAGACATGTGGTCAGTGCCAAGGTAGAGTAAGGAGGCCAGCAGACATGAGCCTTAGCAATAACCAGGAAAATAAATGAATAAACATAGAATTATGGACTATGTGCCCGCACTGTGGCAGGTGCTGGAGAAGAGTGAAGAAAATCACCCCCCTTCCCTCACGCTGCAGACATCCTAGTGTGGAGACAGGCAAATAAAACAACAAAGGATAAAACAGAAAAGCGAAATACCTTGCATGTCAGTTGAGGACAAGTGCCGCCATGGGGTGTGACTCTCACCTAAGAACAGAACACAGGAAGTGAAAAGTGGTCACGTTTCCTGCCAGACACGACCATGGCCAGGAACGGAGGTGGACGTCACTAGCAGGGACTGGTGTTAACATCTTGTGTCTCTGACACAGCAGGAGGGACGGGGCATCGCCGTGTGGTCTTTTTCAATCCCATGGCTCAGTCGAGTCACGGGGAACAGCAGCCACGCCCAAGCAGAGGAAGTCACTGAGAATCAGGTCGGGAAAGGCAAGGACACCCAGAGCCACCCCACAGACTGGGGAGACAGGGAGACGCAGTGACTAAAGGTGATGCAGGACACTGGCACAGGGAATGGGCGAAATCCAATGCTCTTTTCTTAGTTTGGACGCATGTGCTGTAGTCATGGGAGATGTGTACATTTATGCTGGGGGAGCTGGGAGAAGCCTGACAGGAACTCTCTTTTGTGTCTGTACAACTTTTCTGAAAATCCAGAAGGGCCTCAAAATTTAAAAAAATTAATAAATAAAATGGTCCAAAAGGAAAAAAAAAAAAAAAGAGCCAGGAAGAGACCAGGAGTGCAGTTGAGGTCCAAAAGGCAAAACTGGGAAACCAGTTAGGGAAGAGACTGGGCGCAGAGACGATTTGGGGCCTTCCTAGCCAGGGTTTCAGCAGGGCCTCTCCGACTGGGGGCACAGAAGCCGAGACCTGAGGGACAGCAGGAGTGGCCAGGGCCAAGGCTGGGTGTGGGCATCGTGAGCAAAGTCCCAGAGGTGGGAGAGTGTGTGTAGTTCCCAAAGGTGAGGGCAACTGTGGCTGGAGCTGCGACGGAGGGAGGTGACACTGCACTTGGGTGCTGGGCAGCAGTGACAGCAGTAACAGCAGGCAGTGCCCGGAAGCCGCATCTTGTGCCCTTTCAGTTCAGTTATCAATGAAGAGGTGAGCAGAGAGGCACCTGCTGCAGGGCACTAGGAGACCAGGTGGGTGGGAGTGACCCCCAAAGACACTATGCCTAACACCACTGTCGCCCCAATGTTGAAATCCTGAAAGATCCAAAATCGCTGAAGTCTACAATCCCTAAAGATCAAAATTCTGACAATCTCAATCCTTAGAGGCTAAAATTTTGAGTGTTGAAGTCCTGTAAAGCAAAACCCAGATAAACCACAAGTGCACTAAAAAGAGGCTAGAAGGTCATATAAGATGTGTAGAAAGCTGAAAGTTTGTGCTTCATCTGCAAGAGCATTCCTCCAGACCAACTGAGGTTGAAAATCTGAGCCAGATTTGCAGGAAGAGGTCAGCAAACCAAAGGGTTCTAAGATGCTTCTGTTGCCAGGACGGTAAGATGGACACGTGAGTGGCTGCTGGATCGCCGACACTGTGCCTGTCACCTCCAAGGTCTGTGTGTGAGCACCACGGGGTGACTC